CCATAAAGATTTTATCCGTACGCTATCTACCCTATAGTTGAAACCTGTCCGGTGAAGATTTTATCCTTATGCTATCTACCCTATGGCTGATAACACTGTTCGTTGAAGATTTTAACCTCACGCTATCTACCCTATAGTTGGTACCTGTCCGTTGAAGATTTTATCCGTACGCTATCTACCCTAAAGCTGAAACCTGTTCGTTGAAGATTTTACCCGTACGCTATCTACCCTAAAGCTGAAACCTGTTCGTTGATGATTTAACCCTTACGCTACCTACTCTAGAGTTGATACCTGTCCGTTGAAGATTTTACCCTTACGCTATCTACCCTATAGTTGGTACCTGTCCGTTAAAGATTTAATCCGTACGCTATCTACCCTTTAGTTGATACCTGTCCGTTGAAGATTTTACCCTTACGCTATCTACCCTATAGTTTATACCTGTCCGTTGAAGATTTTATCCGTACGCTATCTACCCTTTAGTTGATACCTGTCTGTTGAAGATTTAACCTTTACGCTATCTACCCTATAGCTGAAACCTGCCCGTGGAAGATTTTACCCTTACGCTATCTACCCTATAGTTGATACCTGTCTGTTGAAGATTATTGTTCTGTCTTCTCACAGAGATTTAATGTCTTTATCGATTAGTTTCACCTTCTCTTGTTGTATATAGATTTATCGACTACTTGGGGCTCCTCGTGGTCTGACTGGGAAAAACAAATATGGCAGCGCCCTACATGTAGGCATGCTACATATTCTTATTTACAACCTTTTGGTTAAACGGTGCTAGTTCACACTTTGTAAGTATTTCTTCAAATTATAATGATGCTTCGTTTATTATTTGCAGTAACAATTTATGTAATTTCTGCATAATCCAGGTAGAAATAGGGATAATATAAGTCGCCATAATTGGCATAGCTTAACTTAGCTAGAAGTGTTGAATAATTCACCATACATATAAATTTACCTTTCCAGTTCTCGGTGAGGACTTTAGGACTATTTGTTTTGTATTTTCTAGATAAGCCCTTATGCTACAGAATAGTTTACCTGGTTTCTTGTTAGTTATTTACATAGTATCGTATATGTTTATCAGATAGAAGCTTTTGGAAGATAGATATGATGATTTCGATAAGATGGGATATGTTCGGTGATATGTGAATCGGGTAGATTCATGTACAGAAATTGTATGCGATATAATTATATAATTACAGTATAGGCTTTCTTGATATGTGTACATGTTTATACAGAGATAGAAGACTGTTTGGTAAGATTTGTTTATGATTTGTTGTAGCATTTCACCGCTTCATGTCCATGTGGGGTCTGTACCAGACAACGTTAACTGCTTTTGTCATCTGTACCAGATACATGTTGATTTTCGGAATAAATGGACAAATTGGTGACACTATCTGTGATTGTGGTTCATATGTCAATCGTGCGACAGAATAGTGAAATGAAAGTACACAGCTAGCCATGGCAGAGGAACAGGAGCATTTGGATACCGCGAGGATAAGAACCCTCTCGATTAAGGCCGATGAGAATTATTTGGTAGCCTGTGAGAGGTACATTAAGAAAATAGACTCCATATGCTGTAAGTTGAAAAACACTGTGGCTGAACTTAATACTATTGAAACAAGTGATAAAACACAAGTCCAAGAATGGAGAGTGAAACTTTGTGCAATAAGAAAAGAATATGAAATTCTGTCCTATGAATATCTGGGCTTTTTACAGAGAACACACACTGTAAAAAGTTTATGTAAACACAATGAACATAAAAACAACATGACATCCATGAATGAGACTGTAAAAGACGCCATGGACTCAATTAGGGACATTCCTACCTTAAAGGATCCAGTGTCTGAGGAAATTGACAATTCTGTGAAAGTAAGGAAGAGTAGTGTAAGCTCTCATAGTGTTACTACAAGCGGAAAATCCAAAACCAGTATAGCAACACAGAAACGTGCTAAAGCTGAGGCAGCACGAGCTAGCTTAGAGATTGCTAAAAAGGAGGTCCTTCTAAGGAAACAGATGGCAACTCTTGGGGAGGAGGGTAGGTTGGCCGAAGTAAGAAGGACAGAATTAAGGCCGAGTACAATGCTGACCTTACATTGCTGGCCGAGGAAAAGGAAGTGGCTGCGGCAGATGCTGAGCCTTCATATTTAGAGTCAGAGTCTGGCAGTGTAAGATCTAGAGGTTCTTTTATCTTGCATCATTCAATACCTACACGTATCTCTAATACAGAAGAAATGACGAGATAGTATGTGGCTAGTCTACCAGATTGGAATGTGCAGGATAAAGATAATTTACATGTATCACAGACTGAAGGTGAAATATACACAAACATTCAGAACATTACGCATACTGTTCCCATGGATACACAGATGCAGCAGTCAGTGGTATTGGCACCTAAAGCACAACCCTTCATACCTCATGGAGCTAGCAATGATTGCTCAGTGAAACCAGACACTGAAGCTTTAACATCTTTCCTGTTGAAGAAAGAGCTGTTGCTACAGCGACTCTACAAGTTTGATGATGAGCCTCCATCTTTTGAAGTATGGAAAGCTAGCTTTAATAGCGTTACACAAGAACTAAAGGTGAACTCATATGTGCAGTTAGACTTGTTGGTGAAGTATCTTGGAAAGGAATCTTCCTCATATGCCCAGAGTTTACGCACGTCTAATGCCAGAAATCCTGGACGTGCTGTGAGGTTAATATGGGAGCGTTTCGAGGAAAGATATGGGTGCCCTGAGATGATTGAGTTTGCTCTTAAGTCAAAACTGGAAAAGTTCCCTGTGTTGTCAAACAAGGACAATAAGAAACTATATGAGCTCAGCGACGTACTGGATGAGGTTCTGTCAGCGGAAGAAGATCCTAGGTTCGCTGTACAGTTCGCTGTGTTTGACTCATCACGTGGGGTGAATAGTATTGTTGCAAAATTACCTTACAACATTCAACCGAAATGGGTGACACATGCATCTAGATACAAGAAACAGAGGAATATTCCTTATCCATCTTTCTCTGTATTTGTTGAGTTCATTCACGACGTCTGCAAAATAAGAAATGACCCAGCATTCAATTTGGAAGCCGTACCTGTACCTAATCAGAAGAAGGAGAAATCTGCTCCCCAGCGTAAAAATCACAAAGTGTTTGTGGTCAACCGGAAAACTGGTGTTCAGGAGAAACAGACAGAGACCGACAAGGACAACAGGATGAGATGTGTGATCCATAATGCAGGCCATCCCTTGATGGAATATAAAGAGTTCAGGTCTAAAACTTGGGAACAACGGCGTGCTCTGTTGAGGAGTAAAGGAGTTTGTTACAAGTGCTTGGCGTCGACAGAACATATGTCTCCTAAGTGTCCTTTAGATGTAACATGTGATAAATGTGGACGCAAAAATCATTTGACTCTCATGCATCGAGAAGAACCTATGAAATATCATGACGGGGAGTCAAAGGGCGAACCGGAGATACATGTGGCCGCCAAACGTACATGGAAAGGAGTTTAGAGGTCAATCATGCGGAAAAACTGTTCTTGTAGATGTGATGTCATCTAGTCGTCCTGCTGAGAAGTTCAGAGTGTATGCATTAATAGATGACCAGAGTAATCGTTCACTGGTAACTCCATAACTTTGTGAGATGATGGGAATACGTGGTGAAACTATGACGTATACCCTGTCCTCATGCTCGGGTCGAACAACAATGGTTGGACAACGTATAGATTGGTTATCTGTTCAGTCAGTTGGTTCAGCAGAAATACTTGACCTGCCAGAGTTAATAGAGTCTGAGTGTAACTACATTCCGCAGGATTTGAGTGAGGTTGCAACTCCAGAGATAGCAAGTAACTACCCTCATTTGAAGGAAGTAGCTCCTATGCTACACTCGTTAAATGCAAATTGTGGAATTCATCTCCTGATTGGACGTGACGTGCCAGAAGCACATCATGTGAAGCGTCAGATTATTGGACCTAAGCATCTACCATTTGCATTGGAACTTCCCTTAGGTTGGGTGATTATTGGAAAAGTGTGTTTCGGCAGGTTTCATCAACCAGATATTGTACATGCCTATAAGACGAACGTGGACGTTGATGGAAGAGGCACTGTGATGGATTTGTGCAGGAACATGTGCACTATTTTTGAACATAAGGACAGTAGTAGTCTGAGTTCTGATATATTCCATAAGACACCTGACGACAATAAGGTGGGCTTATTTGCGGATGATCGTCAGTTTGTGCAGATTATGGAATCAGAATTAACTAAGGACTCCTCAGGACAGTGGATGGCACCACTACCATTTAAGGAGCCTAGAGAAGTACTACCTAACAACAGAGCGCAGGCATATAAAAGAGCGAAGATATTGGATAAGAGCTTACAACAAAACTCTTTGAAACGGCAACATATGGTTGAGTTCATGGACAAAGTGTTTCGGAATGGAGCTGCAGAGGTGGCCACAGACACAGACAAGAAGAAGTGGTACCTACCTCTCTTCGGTGTTTACCACCCGAGGAAGCCAGGTCAGATTCGAGGAGTTTTTGACTCGTCAGTAGTGTATGAAGGAAAGTCCTTGAATGATATGTTGCTGTCTGGCCCTAACTTGACTAACAGTATTGTTGGTGTACTGTTACGCTTTAGAGGTGATGCATTTGCTGTGAGTGCTGACATCGAACAAATGTTCTATCGGTTTCCTGTGACACCAGATCACAGGCGATTCCTGCGTTTCTTCTGGTATAAGGAGAACAATCCTATTTTTCCTCTCATGGAGTATCAGATGAGAGTTCATGTTTTTGGCAATCGGCCTTCACCTGCTGTTGCAACATACGGGCTACGCCATACAGTGCAAAAAGACAAAGATGTTCGACAACATGTACACAGAGACTTTTATGTAGACGATGCCTTTAGTTCTCTCCCCACAAGGGAACAAGCTGTCAGTCTTCTGTCCAGGACACAGGAGATTTTGAAGGAAGAGGGAGACATCAGACTACATAAGATTGCCTCTAATGACCCCGGATCATGAATGAGTTCCCTAAGGAGGATCTTAGTAAAGACCTAAAGAATCTGGTTCTTGATTCAGATAGCTTACCTCAACAGTTGAGTCTCGGATTGACGTGGGATCTGCACTCGGACGTGTTCCAGTTTTCTGCTCCAGATGTACGAAAACCTTTCTCTAAAAGGGGATTGCTATCAGCAATGAACTCGGTATATGATCCCTTAGGTTTCTTGGCACCGTTCTCGGTCAGCGGAAAGATGCTCCTTAGAGAAGTATGTTCAGATGGATCAAGTTGGGATGACGAACTTCCTATAAAGTTATTGGAGCAATGGAACGCTTGGAATGATGCTCTCCATCAGTTGGATGGTTACCAGGTTCCAAGGATGTTCATCAAGTCATCACTCAGTTTGTTACAGAATCCAAGGGTATACATCTATTCAGATGCCCCTGAAAAAAGTGTAGCTGCTGTTGCCTATCTTGTATCAACCGATACTCCCAATGACAAGGACATTGGCTTTATTATGGGTAAGGCTAAGGTAGCACCCAAGAATGGACACAGTATTCCAAGACTATAACTCTGTGGAGCAGTGCTTGGCGTAGAGCTAGCACAGTGCATAGCAGAACATTTGGACATTCCACCTTCTGCATTTCGGTATTTCACAGACAGTAAGGTGGTACTGGGATATATTTATAACAGGACACGAAGATTCTACACCTACGTAAGTAACAGAGTAGCTCTTATTCATGACTTTTCTGAACCGAACCAGTGGAATTATGTTCATACTGATAGTGATCCTGCAGATACTGCGACCAGATCTTCGCTACATAATGTAAAGTCTGCTATTTTGAAGTGGCTCTCTGGACAAGCGTACAAACTACTCGAGGACAAGGGAGATAAGGAGGTCTTCAGTCTTCACAACCCTGAAACAGATGAGGAAGTTCGACCTTAAGTTTCAGTAAAGTTCACGTCTGTCGAGTCATCTACTCGACCAGATTCTGCCTTGTTTGAGACATGTTCGTCTTGGAAAAGACTGGTTGCTACTTATGCTATCTTGATTCATGTTGCCAGAACGTTCAAGAAAGAAACCAAGTGTGGACATACGTCCTGGCATATTTGTGAGGTTAGTACCTCACCGGAGTTGATTAAAGCCGCAGAGGCTCTTCTCATAGGAGCTGTTCAGAAGAAGTTCTATTCAGAGGAGATTCGTGCGCTTGAATGTGGGAAACAGGTTCCCAATGACAGCACTATACTCTCGTTGTCCCCTTATTTGGATGAAAAGGGACTACTTAGAGTAGGAGGCTGTATGAACAAATTGAGAATCAAGGTTCAACTAGAGTCGGTCAACCTTATAATCATATCTAAGTGTCACATCGCGAAGTTGCTCGTACGCCATTTTCATGGGCAAGTTTTTCACCAAGGACGACACTTTACAGAAGGTTCGTTGCGTTCCAACGGATTTTGGCTTATTGGAGCCAAGAGACTTGTGTCATCTGTGATAGGACAGTGTGTTGTATGTCGGAAACTTCGGGGTAAATTGATGCATCAAAAGATGGCAGATCTACCTGAAGAGAGGTTAACTCCTGGACCTCCATTCACCACAGTTGGAGTTGACGTTTATAGACCGTGGGAAGTTGTGACTCGCAAAACACGTGGAGGTGAAGCAAATAGTAAGAGGTGGGCTGTTATGTTTACATGCATGACTACTCGTGCAACACACATTGAGGTAATTGAGGACATGAGTGCATCGTGCTTCATCAATGCGCTCAGTCGTTTGATTGTTATCAGAGGACCTGTAAAGACTTTGTGGTCTGACAGAGGAACCAATTTTGTAGGTGCTGCATCGCTAATCAAAGCACATGTGATTCATATTGAGAGTCCGCCCGTCCAGACTTGTCTGAAGAATTTAGGGATTGTGTGGCGCTTCAACTCTCCGCATTCATCCCATATGGGAGGAGTTTGGGAAAGACCCGTTGGGGTAGCTAGAAGAATATTGGAGAGTATGCTGGCAAACTGTACCTTCAAGGAATTCACCCATGAAGTACTTTGTACTTTTATGTATGAGGTTGCTGCAGTAATGAACTCAAAACCTTTGGTTGCTGTAGACAGCGATGCTCAGGACCCACTTGTGCTCTCACCTAGTATCCTCTTAACCCAGAAGCAAGGATATTCTTCGTCTGCGCTTGCTAAGGATTTGAGCTTGAAGGAAATGTATACGGCCCAATGGAAGCAAGTACAAATTCTATCGGACATGTTTTGGAAACGTTGGAGATCCCAGTTTCTACAAACGCTACAAACCAGGCGAAAGTGGCAAACGGAACAACGCAATCTGCAAGGGAATGACTTGGTCCTTCTGAAGGATGTAAATGTGGCAAGATGCAATTGGCCTGTTGGTGTCATCTCTAGACTGTTTCCTAGCAGCGATGGAAAGGTGCGAAAATGTGAAGTTCGAGTTGGACACTGTGATGGCGTGCCATCAGTGTATACGCGACCGGTTACGGACTTAGTGATGTTATTGTCAGAGGACAAGTGAACGCAATAACTTGTTATGATGAGAACAGTAGTTAATTAAGAAGTGACTTTTTAGAATGATGTCAAGTGAGACATCAGACGGGGAGTGTTCTGTCTTCTCACAGAGATTTAATGTCTTTATCGATTAGTTTCACCTTCTCTTGTTGTATATAGATTTATCGACTACTTGGGGCTCCTCGTGGTCTGACTGGGAAAAACAAATATGGCAGCGCCCTACATGTAGGCATGCTACATATTCTTATTTACAACCTTTTGGTTAAACGGTGCTAGTTCACACTTTGTAAGTATTTCTTCAAATTATAATGATGCTTCGTTTATTATTTGCAGTAACAATTTATGTAATTTCTGCATAATCCAGGTAGAAATAGGGATAATATAAGTCGCCATAGTTGGCATAGCTTAACTTAGCTAGAAGTGTTGAATAATTCACCATACATATAAATTTACCTTTCCAGTTCTCGGTGAGGACTTTAGGACTATTTGTTTTGTATTTTCTAGATAAGCCCTTATGCTACAGAATAGTTTACCTGGTTTCTTGTTAGTTATTTACATAGAATCGTATATGTTTATCAGATAGAAGCTTTTGGAAGATAAATATGATGATTTCGATAAGATGGGATATGTTCGGTGATATGTGAATCGGGTAGATTCATGTACAGAAATTGTATGCGATATAATTATATAATTACAGTATGAACTTTCTTGATATGTGTACATGTTTATACAGAGATAGAAGACTGTTTGGTAAGATTTGTTTATATTTGTTGTAGCATTTCACCGCTTCATGTCATGTGGGGTCTGTACCAGACAACGTTAACTGCTTTTGTCATCTGTACCAGATACATGTTGATTTTCGGAATAAATGGACAAATTGGTGACACTATCTGTGATTGTGGTTCATATGTCAATCGTGCGACAGAATAATTATACCCTTACGCTTTCTACCCTATAGTTAATACCTGTCCGTTAAAGATTTAGCCCTTCCGCTATTTTTTAGTCTTTACTTGTATTTCCTGCAAGGTTTCGTAATAAGAGTCATTTCGATTTTGTCAGGACTTTCCATGGATACAGACATGTTGTGTGTATGGAGAGAGTAATATTTGGTTATCGAGGATGGCTAATTCCAATCAAAAGTGTGTAGGTCACCAACAATCTATTGCAAAGTTGACAAGTTTTAATATTTTGGACACTTCGATTTCATGGGTGAAAAACTGGTCATTATGAACAGGACGTCTCCCGCCAGAAGTCTTGGGTCTAGAGAAGCGAAACCAACCGCTTAGACTTGCTGAAATGTTCCTTTTGCAGAGTCTGATTGAGTTAATGACGACTTGGTCATATCGTGCAGTAAAACGTTAATTTTGTTTGATATTCTGTATTGACCCCCCCCCCTTAGTTAAATATCAATGATTAAAAAATGTCCCATTTTTATATAACATTAATAATTCAGTTGTTTTTAGATGTCTTGTTATGAATCTGATGTAATTAGCATAATAAAGCATGTTGTTCATCATTATAGATAAAACACATTTAAATAAAATGAATTAAAAATACCAATTTAATATCCATTCCCAGTGACTCAACATGTTATCTTACCGCACCGTATAGTGTCGTAACACGAGAGAGGGCTTAATTTAATCGATATAAAATATCTTTTCAATTTCGATTCTCCAAAGTAAACAATATCGAGTAATAAGTAAAACTAATTGAAATACTTGACATATGAACGGAGAGTCACCTCGTCGTTATATACTAGTATCGTCCAAGGATTTTGTCTTATGAATGACTAAATGACGGATAGTGTGTCAGAGCACGTGATGGAATTATCAACCATTGATCGTTATGTGAACTATTCACCTCTGCAGTAAACGTTAAACATTACATCCTTCTACAAAGAACAGTTCAACTGTGCATGCAGTTAATACTCAGTTTATATGTTACCATGGATATGCATGATCATTTTATCCTTAATAAAATACCTTTCAAAACTAAGATGTTCTAGCAATCTAAACATTAAGACCAACAAACATTAAAGCAACTTGAAATTGAAGAACTTGTACGATATCAAAGCTGTAATTCAAACTCAAAATCGAAAAAAACGGTAAAATTTGAACAAATTTGGTTTGATATAATGTTATCTCCTATTGGCAGCTAAGGTCATTTAAGGATGTGTAAGTTCGGACAAACAAAGATTTACATGGTGACCATTGATATAGCACAAAGAGAATAAGACCAGATGTTTTGGATAGGTAAGCCTCTACTGCCTCATTGACGACCACAGTCATGTGCATCTAAATTCAATTGTCCTTCAAGGGAGACCAACAATATTGACATCAAAACAGCAAAACAGGCTAACGAATAAAACGAAAAACGTTGATCTTCAAATCTTACAAAAACTAAAACAAATCCTAACAATATCGCACTGAAGACCAAGAAACTTGTCCATAGGCTTAGCCAACCTGCATCGTTGAAAACCCTTTGTTGTTAGTATGTCAATAAGCAGTTGACATTGATCACGATAGTCATAATATTCGCAGCAAATTCTTGAATATCAACTTAACTCGACATATACAAATCTCAGGATGTAGAAGCAAAGATATTTTAAGGAAAATCGAAAAATCCATGGATGTCATAAGACTCCTACGGTAAAATGCATGCAGGATATCATGGAACCCTGGTTTAAGGATTAAGATTTTTTTCACAACAAAACTGTTTGCATAAAAAGACAATTGAACTCTTAACTTCGGCTATGGGTCATTTAGTAAAGTTTTGCCACTAGATTAACAATTAACCCAATACAATGCCTGTTAATCAGTATTTAGTAAGTAGTAAAATACACGAACTTGTAACAATCTACACAATACAATGCCTGTAAATCAGTACTTAGTAAGTAGCAAAATACACGAACTTGTAACAATCTACACAATACAATGCCTGTTAATCAGTACTTAGTAAGAAGCAAAATACACGAACTTGTAACAATCTACACAATACAATGACTGTTAATCAGTAGTTAGTAAGTAGAAAAATACACGAACTTGTAACAATCTACACAATACAATGCCTGTTAATCAGTACTTAGTAAGTAGTAAAATACACGAACTTGTAACAATCTACACAATACAATGCCTGTTAATCAGTACTTAGTAAGTAGTAAAATACACGAACTTGTAACAATCTACACAATACAATGCCTGTTAATCAGTACTTAGTAAGTAGTAAAATACACGAACTTGTAACAATCTACACAATACAATGCCTGTTAATCAGTACTTAGTAAGTAGTAAAATACACGAACTTGTAACAATCTACACAATACAATGCCTGTTAATCAGTACTTAGTAAGTAGTAAAATACACGAACTTGTAACAATCTACACAATACAATGCCTGTTAATCAGTACTTAGTAAGTAGTAAAATACACGAACTTGTAACAATCTACACAATACAATGCCTGTTAATCAGTACTTAGTAAGTAGTAAAATACACGAACTTGTAACAATCTACACAATACAATGCCTGTTAATCAGTACTTAGTAAGTAGTAAAATACACGAACTTGTAACAATCTACACAATACAATGCCTGTTAATCAGTACTTAGTAAGTAGTAAAATACACGAACTTGTAACAATCTACACAATACAATGCCTGTTAATCAGTACTTAGTAAGTAGTAAAATACACGAACTTGTAACAATCTACACAATACAATGCCTGTTAATCAGTACTTAGTAAGTAGTAAAATACACGAACTTGTAACAATCTACACAATACAATGCCTGTTAATCAGTACTTAGTAAGTAGTAAAATACACGAACTTGTAACAATCTACACAATACAATGCCTGTTAATCAGTACTTAGTAAGTAGTAAAATACACGAACTTGTAACAATCTACACAATACAATGCCTGTTAATCAGTACTTAGTAAGTAGTAAAATACACGAACTTGTAACAATCTACACAATACAATGCCTGTTAATCAGTACTTAGTAAGTAGTAAAATACACGAACTTGTAACAATCTACACAATACAATGCCTGTTAATCAGTACTTAGTAAGTAGTAAAATACACGAACTTGTAACAATCTACACAATACAATGCCTGTTAATCAGTACTTAGTAAGTAGTAAAATACACGAACTTGTAACAATCTACACAATACAATGCCTGTTAATCAGTACTTAGTAAGTAGTAAAATACACGAACTTGTAACAATCTACACAATACAATGCCTGTTAATCAGTACTTAGTAAGTAGTAAAATACACGAACTTGTAACAATCTACACAATACAATGCCTGTTAATCAGTACTTAGTAAGTAGTAAAATACACGAACTTGTAACAATCTACACAATACAATGCCTGTTAATCAGTACTTAGTAAGTAGTAAAATACACGAACTTGTAACAATCAACTCAATACAATGCCTGTTAATCAGTAGTTAGTAAGTAGAAAAATACACGAACTTGTAATAATCTACACAATACAATGCCTGTTAATCAGTACTTAGTAAGTAGTAAAATACACGAACTTGTAACAATCAACCCAGTATCTAAAATAAACAATCAATGTATGCCGTAAAAAGTATCAATGTTTGTCATATCTACATGTTTGCTAAGATTCGGTTCGGTATAAATCTAAAACAATTATCTTCATAGTAAAATACGTGTCCGTTAATACAATCTACACAACCAAAGCGATTTGTGCTACCCCAATCTATACACAATAAAATAGCTGCACCTATTGTGCAGACAGTAATAACATATTTATAATAAAGCATACCTGCATATCGTAAAACAGCCACATACACACACATGTACGTCATAACTATGTGCACAAAAATAAAACATATTTGTAACAACAGTATATACAGGAACACCGTTGAATTCACAAGAATGTTTCATACAACAGTCACTTTACTAGATAACTTGATATTTAATTGTCTCGCATGACTGACACCACACTTTGTCACAGTTCAGAGTATGACAATTTCCACATCCTC